ATCTGTCTGCACTCTCGTGGGCAACTACGTACGTATGCGCAACTTACGATTCGATACCACCATTAGTCTTAGATTTTTCGCAAGTCGCTTGCAGTGCTTTGTGATGTATAATGATTTCATTACTGATGTATGCTTCGCGACGTATCCTGTAGCTTAAGACTCATATCATGCATTAGGAATGCACCATCGTACGGGTATCATCACAAGTGTCACAAAATTCTGTAAAATATGCAAATAAATTTATATTTAAAAATTATTGTGAGAATTGTATAAAACTTGATAATTGATTGTAAATAAAAATAAACTAAAGGAGATGTGAATTATACTCAATGTAAAATGTTGATTAATCTAAACATTTAATTCAAAAAATCATCCAGCGAATAATTATCAGAAATTTTTATATGATGAAATAGTTTTAGTAGAAAGTTTGAAGTAAAAGCTATGCTGATATATATATAACAGTAATATAACGCAGACATTCTCTGTTGTTTCTTTATGTACTTCCGATAATTCAAGCCATGGATGATTTTTTTTCTGCCATGCTCGGAAGATCTCTTATCTTTTTCTTATATGCTACAAAACATGGTTCCTTGTCTGGATCTCATGATTGCCTAATAAAAATATAAAAGTATTATATACATACATATAAAGCAAGATAAAAATTATAACTTTTTGCTTCTTACTATAAAAGGACAATCTCGTTGATCAATCAAAACTTGATAAAACATATGTGGCCTGCCTTTTACTTCTTTCTCACCAACATTGTTGAAATGTTATCCTCTCTATATAAAAGATAAAGTTATCTATATATAACATCCATGTAAAAAAAATAAGATATAGTTATTCATACAATACAACTACGATACCCATCTTTCTTATTGAATAGAGCTCTGTCATATACTTTAGCCAACCAAGGAAATAAAATCACACCTCGATATAATACACTTTACACTTATACACTTATTTCACTTAATACGAATTTCTAACAAATTTGGTCACTCGCACTACACTGCTCTGGATAAGCAGTCTTATTAAGTGTGCATAGTGCGAGTGGCCAAATTTGTTAGACCGAATTCACTATTATCACTTTTTTTTTATTTTCACACTTTCTGAACTGAAAGGTTATGTAAATAAATAAATGCAAATGCCAACGTAAGCGCGCGCCGCGCGGCTTCTCAGCGCCATCAGCGCACCTAACGTCAGAAATCGGAACATGGACATTTTAGCTGGACATTTTTATCGTACTATTTTAGACATTTCGACTTTGGACTATTATAACTTTTTTTCTACAGCACCTACAGTAAAAACAAGCATACTTTTCTTATGTAATTTGGGTATGCGCTATCGATTGAGCCTAACAACAACTCAATCGGCCCAGCCGTTATTGAGATCCGATAATCTCGGCTCGTCTCAACTTTCGGGCTCGCGTAAAGATACACGGTCGGTCTTGCGCTGCGCGTGAACTTGGCGCGAGACACTACCGTGTCTCTTGATTATTGTTGTTCTTAATTTAAATATATAAGTGTCAGAGCTCACTAATAGTCTATGTAAAACATCCTCACTTGATACTATACGATTATATTTTCTAGAATGTGAAAAGCGGTAACGCGTTTATAGTGTTTATTACGGGCTTCTTGAGCTTCTTCTGATAAACATCCGATTGGTAATATAGCAGCACGAATTATTTCTTCTGCATGTAAAAGTACCTTGTGTACAGTGACTGGCATATAATACCAGTTATAATTATCCACAAAGTATTTTGCTGTTTCCAAAGCATAACTTCCAAATTTTTCTGCATTATTGCAACACCAGAAGTTATAACTTCTAAAATTACTGCGAAACGCTTGATTAATTCAACCTTTACTCCAGTTATTTCTGCTACTAATTCAGAATTTTGGAAAAATCGACGGGAAGTGTTTCCCGTATTAGAGGTTTTAGCTCTTTGCTCTACCATGTCAATTCAAATATCCATTTTTTTCGAAATTCTTCCTGAATCTTTTGTTTATTTGTAATTTTTTCTATTTTTGTTTTGTCATTTGTGGACCACTTTTGAAAAGATAAATTATAGCTTATGTGTAAAACGCATTCCATGAATTTAATCCTTGCGTGCAAAGGTGACAAGCCTAAAATATAAGTATTTTTATATGGGAGTTTTGTTTTTAAATCATGTAAATTATTCATCTATTTGGGTGTTGCTTTACAAACAACTTAAGGTAGATTTTGTTCCAGTCACAGCATTTGCAACTTTCCCATCAAGCATTGTAAAAATTACTTTGTGGGCAATCTTTATATTTTTTCCGTAAATTAATATAGTACTTGGTTCTAAATTTTTAATTTTTTCTTTCATCTCTTGCACTATGTGAACTGTTTTTTCTCGAGTTTCCTTAGCAAATTCGAATTGAATCAATCTACAGTATCTTGTGGATGATAGTCAAGTATTCTCCCAAATCCTTTCATTTGTGCTTGATTGTAACACCAAGGGTACCATAGAAACCATGAATAGGTTGTGACCGGACGCGCCCTATGAAGATAGATTACTCAGAACTCACCAGTCGTAGGCAGCAATACGTTCGCCGTAGATTGGTCGCCACTCGTTTTAACCTCTTAAACGAGAAGGTTGAAATTCTCGCCTCGTCCTTCCATGACTCTCATGATCGGATGTTGCTTCCTTCAGCACGGACGACGCCTGATGAGATGCTGCGATGTATCTCGTTTTAATCCTTTTATTTTCGTTTGTTCACAGGTTCACCTCGCGCACGAACGACGGATGACCCGGATGCAGAACGGATAAAGTAAGTATCAATAACAATTGTTTCACAGGTACGGATTGAAAAAACTTCACTCAATTTATTTTGATTGATAATTAAAATAAAGTATATATTTAACACAAAACAAAATAATTGTACATGAAGTGAGCCATAGTGGCTACAACGCTTTTACACACACGATGTCAAATCAGGGCCCAGCAAGGTTTCCTCCAATCGTGGAGATCCGTCTGGCGAACCTCAGTTGTCGCCATCTTGGAATGGTCCGCGTCTGATCAGCTCGGTCAACGGTTGAGCAGGCGCGATTTTTGAACTTAAGATTATTGTACATTTTAAATAAACAATAAGATTAATAATGGTCATTAGATTTGCGCTTTTCTGACCTTGTTTGTTAACCTTTTTTTTTTTTTAGGTGGAGAAATCCTTTATGGATACCCATGATCCTCGGGGGAGGACCGCAGGTTATGTGAGAGTCTCCCGGGAATGAAGGTTCGCGGGCATACCCACTAAAACTCTATCGATGACCCACGCTGGCCGTATTTGGGAGGGTCCAGGGAACCGCCTGTGGCATTACTTCCTGAACCCTCCCGGCCTGTCGCTTCAACTACGACCCCTCGTGTCCGGATTTTTCTTCCCGGACTGCCCTTTGGGCATTAGTCAGTTGTTGTGAGGAAGCAGGGTCACCTCTGCTTCCCCACGCCCTCCCGTTGTTGGTGGGGGCGGGATTGATGCTTGGGCCCCCGCCCGTACATCAACCCTCCGGTCCGGGGGGGGGGGGAAAGAAAAAGGCCGACAGAACATCCGTCTGACACCTCCCCCCCTCCTCCCCAAACCGGTCATCCGTGGTAGGGGTGGGGCGCCGAGTTCCCCACCCCTTCTTCTTCCTAGGGTCCTATTTTTGAGGGGGGAGTTCATCTCCCATTTCCCACCCTCTAAACCCTTCGCCTTCTTAGGTGGGCCGCAAGGCGCTTTTGCTGCGCTCCGGCTCCACCCGCCCTGTTGAAGAGGGGAAGTGGGTTTTTCCCTCTCTTTTCTCTTTCCGCCTCCTCCTTTTGCAGCATGACTTGCTCGCAGAAGGAGAGGACCGCTCTCCATTTCTCCTCTTCCTCCAGCATAATTTTCACCAATGCTGGAAGGGAGAGGTCCCGCCCTACCACTGTAACCAGGGCTCGGCGCTCTTTAGCCCATGCTGGGCATTCCTCCAGGGTATGTTGCGCCGAGTCCCGGTCAGCCGCACAGTGGTGGCATTGTGTCGTATGCTTCTTTCCTATGCAACACAGATACTTTCCGAAGCAACCATGTCCGGAGAGCACCACCGTGAGGCGATAAGTCAGCCCTCCTCGGACCCTGTCCATCCATTCTGGAAGGCAGGGCCGGATGGCCTCGGTGGTCCGGCGGCCCGGAATATTGGGATCATTTAGTTGGTTTATCCAACTGTTGATTGCCCTCATCCGGGCTTGCCTCTTTATATTTATCACGGCCCCCGGTTCTTGCTGGGCAAGTCTCCCATTGTGCCGGAGTTCCTTTGTACGCCGATATACGTCAGCGTACATTTCGGCTAGGAACTCCAGCAGGATCATGCCCGCGAGGGCCGTGACCGCCGCATACGACACCGTCCTGTAGGACCGAGCGATGCAGGCAGCCATTTGTCGCTGGGCGCCGTGCATTACGGCCCTGATGCGGCGACTGGCCGCCATTTCCCCGGCCCACACCGGTGAGCACACGATCTGAGATTGAAATCAAACTGTCTCGTACTCGCAATGCGTATCGAGAGTAGTTATCGCGGTTCGCGTAATTCAAGGAGCGGCATCCATCCTCTGGGATGATCCCTGCTCGCTTAATGGGTCGACCGATAAATCAAAGCATGAATTATTCCCAAAACCGTAGCAGTGCTATTTATCGATAGCACATGTGCTCTCAGTTTTTCGTTTCCAGGTTCTTCCTCGAAGTTTGGATCATGAACGCGGTTAAAATTGATTTCAATCTCAGATCGTACCCAAGTTCTGTTCGATTATCGCTTCCCGAGTTAATTTATTGAACATTTATCACAGTTTACTGTATCACGATCCGTGATTTTTACTCTTCGCTGTCTTTTCAATAAATTTTAACTTGATATCCAAGTATTAGTTTATTTAGTTTGACCCATTTTTATTCCTTCAGTCAACGATGTTACGTCTTTCTGAACGAGAGCGCATATCTCTTTTGATGACGAGAGGCTGGGGCGATCGATTGAGATCGTACAATGATGTAAGACAGCTTTTCAATGAAACTTTTCGCAATGAAGATACTGCCATTTCAAGATCTACAGTTGAGAGAACGATAAGGCGTTTCAACGAAACTGGAAGTGTTAAAAATCGTCCAGTATTAGGTAGGCCAAAGTCAGCAACAAATCCAGAAAAATCATTAGATGTTTTACAATCCTTCATCGAAAATCCGCATGATTCAAGCCGTAAAGTAGCTCTGCAACATGACATCGATCAAAAGTCTGTTCTTAAAATATTAAAAAATAATAACTTTCATCCCTATAAAGCCCATCTTGTGCAAAAGCTAAATGAGGATGATTTTGATAGGCGTATTGAATTTTGTGAGTTGATGATGGAAAGAATAGACGAAGATTTTAACTTTCTATCAAACATAGTTTTCTCAGATGAAGCAACATTTTAGATAAATGGCAACGTTAATCGGCACAATTGCAGATTCTGGTCTGACGCAAATCCTCATTGGATTGAAGAAACACACACGCAATATCCGCAAAAATTAAATGTGTGGGCAGGCATTCTCAATAATGCCCTCATTGGTCCATTTTTTATTGATGGAAATTTAACAGCTGCGAAGTACGAGGATATGCTAAGACATGAAATAATTCCAGTAATACAGGCTATCGTGGAGGACAATTTTGAGGACACATGGTTTCAACAAGATGGTGCTGCGCCGCATTACGGAAGGAACGTCCGTCATTATCTAAGCACAATGTTTCCTGAGCGATGAATAAGTAGGAGAGGAGCTATCGAGTGGCCTCCTAGATCGCCTGACCTAACACCTCTGGACTACTTTCTGTGGGGTTATTTAAAAGATAGAGTTTACAAAACAAAACCACAAAACCTGGATGAATTACAAAATCGGATTCTTAAGAAAGCTGCTCTTATCCCTCATAATTACATTCAAAATGCCGTTTCATCTTTTTATTATCGGATAGTCTGTTGTCAAACAATTGACGGTGCACATTTTGAACAATTATAAACTTCCTATACAGCCTTAGTTAATTACATCCTCGGTCTTGCACGCACGCACGCACGCACGCACGCACGCACGCACGCACGCACGCACGCACGCACGCACGCACGCACGCACGCACGCACGCACGCACGCACGCACGCACGCACGCACGCACGCACGCACGCATACACAGCAGAGGTGGTTTGGAGTCGTTATTACTGCGCAAGCACGCACACCCTACATGCCTTCCTACATGCAATTTTTTCCACACGTGTCCGCGGAAAGTCTTTCTTATGTCCTCGTCGTGGGCCCTCCGCTACTGCAAAATCTCAATGTTTAAATGATCATAACTCTGCGAAAAAAAGTCGTAGAGACTTCGGCGACATCGCATTGTTCTCATCTAGAAAAGCTCTTTCAAACGAACCCTCACTCGACCCCACATTCCATTAAAACATTTTTCGCCCTCCCTCCCCCCACCACCCGGGGGTGTCAAAATGGGCGTTTTTGGTGTTATGTGATAGATTGTGTGATACCATTGTAACCTTGTAAATTTCAATCCGATATCTCAAACCGTTCAGAAGTTATTTAGGTGTCCCGGTACTTTTTTCTCACCCTGTATATATATGTATATATATATATAAAACTTTTTTTTTAATTTATAGTATTTTAATTTATATTTGCAAGATAGAAAAATACATATTTTGGAAGCTCATAAATCGATAAACGATATTTAATTATGAAATAGTTAATTTCTTTAATTTAAGTTCTCTCTTTTACCAGGAGATGCGGGATGATTTCTTTATAAAGGGAT